TAATTGAGGATTTAAGTTATGATTATTGTTTATTTTGTCTAGCCCGAAGATGCGGGCGTTACACCAACAAGAAAAAATATAGGAAAATAGAAGGCTCCATGAAAAGGGTGGACGGATGATGAAGAGATGGCACTTGCGCAAGCATGGCTAGATGTGTCGTAGGATCCGGCAATGAGCGACGACCAAGATTCGATAACCTTCAAAGCTAGAGTTTGACATAGTTTTTGTCACCAAATGAAAAAATAATACCGCAATCCTAATCATCTTTACTCCAAATGGAGGACCCCCAACAAAGCCTCAATGAACTTCAATGACATCTACATGAACGTGATCTGCAACCCCCAAGGCGGTGCAAATGAGGTGGATGTCTTAGTAAAATTTCGTTAGATTTACAAGGCGAAAGTCGGAAAACTTTTTGGGAATGAGGCGTTTTGGGGAGTTGGGAAGGGAAAACCAAAATGAATTAATCTAAAAAGTGTTGATAATTACGCGAGCATGTCCAAAAGAGGCAAAACTTCTGAATCAACCTACAATCAATCTTCTGACGCACATATTGGGGGGATTGAACTCAACAACGACGATCCATATGAAGTTCCAACTCGTCCTATTGGACGAGACAGAGCAAAAAGAAAGCCGAAAGGAGCACAAAGTTCATCAAGTGAAGTGGAGGAGATAAGGAGCGACATCAAAGGGTTGGAAGCTAATCTTGAGGGTTTTTTTGGAATTGGGAAATGAAAAAGAAAGGAACCGTGAGCTAAAGTTTTTCTTAAACCTGAGAAGGGACTTGTATGAGGAGGATCATCGCATTTTCAACAATGCAAGGAATGATATTGCTAAACAATACAACTAAGACAAGTCGTAGTATTTTTATGTCTTGGATGTAGTTTTAATTTATGTTTTTCGTCTAGTATTAAGTCGTGCTTCTAGTATTAAGTTAAGTTTTTATGTTTTACGTAAGTTTTTAGTAAGCAAGTCATGTTTTAATTTTTTAATTATATTTTATGTTTTAAATTAATGTAATTTTTTTATTTAAATATTAAGTGTTTGTCTTAAAAAAAATAGAATTTATGTAATATTAAATGTTTGTGTATTAAAAAAAATAGAATTTATGAAATATTTTATGTATTAAAAAAATATAATTTATGTAATATTAAATGTTTGCGTATTAAAAAAAATATAATTTAATTAAATTTGAAAAAGAAAATAAAAAAATGAAATGCTAGGAGTGTTACCACTCCCTATAAAATGTTAAGATAAAAAAATAACGTGACACTGAAAAAAGTGACATGACAAGGTGTTACGAGTGTTATCATTCACTCTAGCCTTAGTTGTTTGGTAGTAAAAATATAATAGAGATGATATGACGCATAGATACAACACTTTTATAATGGGTAGATGGTGATCATACTCTTTAACCAATTAGCAAAAGCAATGTCTCCTTGCATAATATGGATTCCAAACATTCATGATCTGGATGTGAATGAGTCGAATTACTTGTCCCCAGGTCTATGTAGTGCTTTTTGATTTCCTAAAGGTGGCCATAGGCCCCTATGGTCCATTGGTGCCCCTATGGTTCAGTGGTTACGACCTCTCTCTTTCACGGAGAAAACGAGGGTTCAAGTCCCTCTAGGGGTATTTAATCCAAACTTAAGATTTAAGTTTGAAACTCATTTTATTAACTTCTTTTCGTTAACCCGAAAAATGGAATAGATCTACGAGAAATCTTATTCAGTTAAATATGGTAGATTCAAATGGGATACAAAAAGAATTGACTGCCGAAAGCTGTATGAGGTAGGAAACTCTCAAGTACGGTTCTAAAGGAAGGAATTAACCCACCTATTCCGACTAAACAAAACAAAGAAAAACAATCATGAAGGATGTTGAGAGACTTGTCCAACTTTAAAAAAAATAATGAACAAAGTCAAAAATAGTATTTTTTTTATAATTTATTAACGTAATGATATTTTTATACAATTTCTTTTATTAACCTCATAAAAATTTCTGAATAGCCATGTAATATACATTTAAGAAATAAATATCAAATCAATGTCAAACTTATTATTATTAATAATAGTTTTTGAACAATTTAATAAATTATTATGTAAAAAATGAACTTTAACATTATTTTTTGGAAAAGAAAAATACCGTATTATCTTGGTAGCTCAATTTTCTTTAAATTTACTACTTTTAAAAAAATAATCTATAAAGAAAAAACATTGTGCATGTTAACATATTTCTTTGTCCCCTATCTATTGCACTTCATAAAAGGAAAGAAAGGGAGAAAAGGCATCGGAAGGGGCTGTGGTGGCTCAAGTCACGTGATAATGGCTGTGGATTAATTGACACGTCATCATTGGTGGCCCTTCATTAACACGTGTGCAGAAATTCAAGGCAAAACAACCGTCTATTCTTATCAAAGTGTGTTTCTTTTTCAAATTTCAAGTGGAGTCTTAAATATTTTTTTATTTAGTGCTACATTCAAAAACCAAAACCAATAGCAATAAAAGTTTTATTGAAATTTTATAATAAGTAATAGTAAGAAAACATAAATTTAAAACTTATACTGACATTCATATTGTATGAAACCTCTTAAAATGTGGTTTTTGCTATCCTTTTGTGATATTTAAACAGAATGATATACTAAAATCTTAACTAAAAAGTTTAATATTGAAAATCACATTTTAACATGTATTATCATATAACCAATCCTTTTAGAAAATCAATATTCTATGGATAAATCAATTAAAGAAAATTTAAAATTTTCTTTTTGCAAAATAACATGGTAAAATCATATAAAACTAAAAACTTACAAGATATAAACTAATAACTAATAATATAACCAAACATCAAAAATAGGTCACTATTTAACAATACAATGAGTAGAGACTTCAAACAGTCTTTGATCGATCACTTAGCTAAAACCGTATGTTATGATGGATGATGTGTTATTGCAATGGTATGGTGAACTAAACATAGTACGGTGGTGTAGTGATGTTGTCGTATGAGGAATGAATACTGCACAAAGAAATCAACCCCTTCCCCCCTCTCAACGGTCGCAACGGCTAACTTTATTTATTTATTTTTTTCCTGTTTTTTGTTTTAAAAAAATCATTATAAATTTTAATTCCCATATCAAACATTTCAAACAACCACACCACATTCTATCACACAAAATACAATCATTTTCATTCCAAAAATGAATCCAAACAACCTCATCTCAAGATCCGGCCGCAACAAATCACGTGCTAGTTGTTCACAAATGCCGATTCCAAATGTTTTTCCTTTAGGTTTGTCGGTTTGCTGACCGCAACACATACCCCAACCCCAACAAATTCACTACAAAAAAGAGGATATGACGTTCGCAAGGTTGCTAATAGTTTCAGGTTTATAATTTAAATTTTGAAAGCCGTCTGATTTTCGAAAAGAAGAAATTGGAGGAGAAAAAGAAAGATCAAGTGGAAAAACAAAGAGCCCGAGAAGAAAAAAAATTCATTATGTAATTTTTAACGCGCAACATTGATCATCTCACCGGAAATAAGCTCGAGATAGTTTTGAGGGATAACGAGGAAATCATGAAAAAAATATTCAATTAGACTTAATTTGTAGTGTTTTTATTTAATTATTATTTTTAGCTATGTAAACATTTTAAATGTAATAAATGGAATATTTCTCTTTTATTATTATAAATATGTATTTTAAATATTTATATGATTATTAAGTTACATTTAAAAATAAGAACAAAAGTGAGGTAAGGTGTCTGAACAATTTTCTATCACTTATGTAGGTTGAGGGGATATTGTGGGGGAAAATATTGACATATTTTAACTAGTCATGCCATAAGTATGAGAAATGATTCGTACATAATAATTTTTATCCATACACAACAATTCATGCTTTATGGAGTTGTACAATACAATACTTTAATGCACAAATTGTTGTGCATGGAAAAAAATTGTTGTGTACGAATCAGTTCCCCATAAGTATGTTAAGGTGTGATACGAGACTCATTGATCTTAAGTTAAGTTAGAAGGAGTGGATTTTTGCTACACATATTTTCCTACCATGTAGACACCACATTATTTTTATGGGAGATGATACTTCCACGTTACTTTTTGATTCATCCACATATTTCTAAAGGCAATGGACAATTATGCCCCTCACATTAATTAATCATTTTTTAATAAATAAAAGAGGAACCCTTTTATCTTCCCAAATTGATTCGCTTTCAACATTTCATCTACAGTAGTGGTTGAAGGTCTTCAAGGCGGGTGTCGAGGAAAGGTGAAGTGCTAAAGGCCGGAGTGAATTTGCCACATTGATCACAAATCGATACCTTAGGCTGAAGGGTGTGGGCGCGGTCCCAGACCGCAGTTTGTGCCACGTCAACCAAGAACACCGCCCCCAGACCGCAGTCTGGTGCGGTCTTGGCCGCAGTGCGGTCCTTAAGTGCCGCGTTTTCTGATTGGTGGATGGGAAAATGGGAGGATTGACCGGTTGTTGGGTTTTTAATTTTTTTTTTTTGCTTTTTCTTTCTTATATATACATATCTAACTTCATTTTTTTTTCACAACACAATCTCTTCTCTCTCTCAAAAAACGTTTTTAAAAAAATCAACACTCTCTCAAAAATGTCATCTTCTTCATCTTCTGAAGAATTTCAGACTATTTTTGATACCGCTATTGCGTGTGTTCAAATGGCGGAACAAACTTTTTTATTTTTTTTGGTAATGCAATGTAATGTTTTTTTTTTAATTTTCAAGTAATGAAAAATTATGTTTTTTTTTATTAAAATAGAAGTTTTATTAAATTAAAATAGTTAAAAAAAAAGAAGTTTTATTAAATTAAAATAGTTAAAAAAAACAAAAACAAAAAAAAAAGAATGTGTGGCACCACTCCCTTGGTGTGGCAAGAAACCACACTTGAGTGGTAAAAAATGACATGACGCTTATGTGGCGGGGGAAGGAGTGCGGTTTCGGTGGCAACACACCCTCCAGCCTTACATCAGATTTCAAAATCCTTTCCATGGCTTTGTTCACATAATCTATCAGTATCACAGACATCTGCCGTGATCCTATGCTCTGCTGCAAAATCAAGCATCTCTTGAGTCTCCTTCAACCCTCCAATGTTTCTACCACCAACAATCTTCCCCCTATCAAAATCCATCAATTCCACCACTTTTATCCAATTGGACAATTTCAAAAGCTTAAAGCAAAACACAAAATACTTACCCATAATCAAAGAAAACGCTACTACTTCAAGTGACTTCTCTGGTGCACCAATAAGCACAAGCTTTCCTTGAGCTTTCAGTGCATTCAACAATGGCGCAATTAGATGAGTTGCAAACACTGTGTCGATGATGACATCAAGTGTACTCGATATAGACCATTGGCAAAAAAAACCCAATTCAAAATTCAAAACTTATCGCAAATTCATTAACCATTTAAAAAAAAACCCTCACCTGCGTCTGTTTTTCATCTTTGCTAACAATAAAATGGTCAGCTTTAAGTCCTTGGAGTAAGTCTTGGTTCTTAGCAGGAGTAGTGCTGAAAACAGTAACTTCTGCACCAAAAGCTTTCGCCATCTTCTCATCAACATGCCCAACAGCCCAAGTCTACCAAGACCAACAACACCGATTTTCATCCCTGGTTTATCAGGTGCGAAGTATCTGAGAGGGATGTAAGTGGTGATTTCGGCACATAGAAGCGGTGCACCGGCATCAAGCGGTAAATTTTCTGGCCACCGGAGGACGAAATTATCATCTGAAACCATGTGATCGGAGCTTTGTTCCATCCAATTTGGGAACATAAGTGAGAACCTGTTTAGGAGAGTATTGTTCTAAATCAATAGCACAGTTTTCACATGATTTACAAGATCCCACCAAGCATCCAACCCCAACTTTGTCTCCGATTTTGAATTTTTCCACTTTGCTGCCTACTTATGTCACTATACCCACAATTTCATGCCTGTATCATGAGCGAAAATGAGAATGTATCATGAGCGAAAATGAGAAAAGATTTGTTCGAATCAAACATACAAAGAAGGATTAAGAGATTAAGTGTTTTGATTCGTAATTTCGTAACCTAGGGTAACTGGGTAAGAGGTAATTCCCCATTCGTTCTTGATAAAGTAAAGATCCGAATGGCAAATTCTGCAATACAGAACTTTGAACCGAACATCTTTCTCCCCATTAGCTCTGTAAAAAAATATCATCGTTACTCATCAACAACAATGAAATTGAATCATTTTCGAAAGAAACCAAGACAAAAAAACCCAAGGCATCATTAAACTTTAAAACAATAGAAATAAATGAAGGGTATAATTGTAAACTTATTTTAAAAATCCGTGGAAACATCAAAACCGTCAGTGGAAATATCACTACCCTATTTTTATCATCTCTTCAACATCTTGACATTTAGAGGGTTGTTTGCCACGCAACAAGATTTTTTTTTCATATACTTAAACAAACAAACTTATATAAAGACGAAAAATTTCATCATTTGAAATGGAAATTATAATAAAACTTAATGACTAAGAAATAAAAAATAGGGATCATATGAAACACGGAATATATAAAAATAAAATTTGCATATCATATTTGTTTTTTGTTTTTTGTTTTTGTTTTTGTTTTTTTTTTTTTTTTTTTTGCAATATGCTTTTTGTCCTACAACATCATTTTTTTCCTCTTAGAGTCACATTTCCATTAAGAATTTTATGTGGTGGGATTTTTCCTTCTCTTCTGTAACACTCAAGTATTATTCCATAGTAGTTTTTAAGTTGTGAAGTCCGCTCGTCATTTGATCTACATCACTCGAACTATTTACAACCCATTTACCCTTTCCAACCCCATGACACAACTAGGTCTTGGAACCTTAATAGGCTCATCTTTGTTGAGGTCTACCCCTATATGCACATCCGACAATTGACTATGAGTGGTTTTGGATGTTTTGGTTCTTTTAAAACCACCCGTGTATGATTCAAAAGTTTTGATATCTTACCATTTTTGGACTCCTTCACAATATTCCTAAACTCAATAAATTTGAAAGGTGCCCCCTTATCATGTTGGTAAATTGTGAAGGATTTTCTTCAATATTGTTTCATCATTCGCACCACTTTGCCAATGACGCTTTACATTCAAGAATATGATGTTAAGCTCCATGACAAGGTGTTCCTTAATTATGAGTAAATTTGATATTTTTTTCTGGTAGTCTCCACGCTTCATTTCGGAACGCAAAAGCCTTATAAATTACCCGTAAAAAGTTGGCTCATCTTGGTTGTTCCCGACTTTTGGGTATTCCGAAACGTTAATCCATGCATGTGCCAACACCTTCTCTTCCTCAACAGTCCATTTCTTACAAGGTGCATTTCCTTTATTCTTGGGTTCCATTTGAGGTTGATCATCTTCGGGATTAAAATCCATTTCGGTTATGATATGGGGTTAGGTTTTGGACTAGAATTGGTATTGAGATTAGGTTGGGGTTAGGATTGGGTTTGGAATTTTGCTTGGAATTATGGTTGGGATTGGAATTTGAATTGGATTTCGTGAATGGTCTAAAATGATTTGAAATCATTTTGGGACTGGAATAGGTATGATGATAAGGATTAGAATTAGGATTCGAATTGTAACGACGTAAATTTTCAAACAAAATTTTCATTTTCGAAACACATCAATTTCTCATTTCAAAATCTCAAAAACATAAGTATCCCAAATGACAAACATATCACAATGAAATTCTCAATCCCAGAATCAAAAAAACATCTTCCGCCAGTGTGTACAATCATGCTGGTGCCTTTCCGCGATCCTCGGAACTACCTGAAACACATAACACATAACACGATAAGCATAAAGCTTAGTGAGTTCCCTAAAATACCACTCATATCTCATCAGCCTCTCATGGCTATACTCAGATAAGACCCTCTGGTCAATGTGTCTCAGTGGGACCCTCCGGTCCCACAACTCGGTTGGACCCTCTGGTCCCTCAACTCGGTAAGCTCAATATAAATCACATCATATATCACAAAGACATCACAACACACAGTATAAGCACATAAGACCCTCCGGTCACACATAAAATACCACTCAAGGTAACTATAGTGAGAAGACTCACCTCGTAAGCTAGCAAATGAAACCTCGAACTCGGAATCTCGAACTCTACCCACCAGTCTAACCTCTGCCTAACACATAATAATTATTAATATTGGCTCTCAAGAAACTAGACTAACCCTTTTGCACTCACAGAAGGGTGAAAATACCATTTTACCCCTCCATAGGCTTAATAGTCCACACTTTGACCAAAACCCTAAAAGTCCACAAAAGTCAACGGCAGGGAGTACGCTGCGCGTACTCGATCTCTACGCTGCGCGTACTCGGCTGCCATGCAGGCATCGGGGATGCTCGACCCCTACGCTGCGCGTATTGGGATTACGCCCAACGTACGCCCCAGTTTCACTCTTCTCACATTTTTGGTCTTAACCAGTTAAGACATAGGCTCATATCTCAGATCTGGATTCTCTAATGTCTCTTAATCCATAAAGTCAGTGACTTTAAGCCTTTGCATGGCTGATTAGGCACCAATCTCCCAAAATATACACTCTTTTGTCTCAAGGGTCTCATAACTCATGCATGGAGTGATTTCACCAACCAAGATTAGATTTTTATGACATAACACAACTCATACACTCAAAAGGGGTTGGTCCTAGTCTCTGGAGTTCAAGATCTCATCAAGTCTCCACCTTTTTGGGACAAAACCCTAAAATGCTCCAATAAAATGCTCATAACAAAGGAAAGTTAAAGTCTAAAGCTTTATACCTCAATAAGAAGCTTCCCACTCAGATTTGCTCGGATCTAGAAGCTTGGACTCCAACTCCTCCTTCTTCAAGACCTTCTCTTCTCTTCAAAACCATAAAAACACTCTCAAGGCTCAAACACACACACACACAAGCTCTAGAACAGAGGTTAGGGCACTCTTAGGGTTTTCACTCTGGGAATGGTGGCCAGAAATGAGGCCATCATATCCCTCATATAGGGGACTCACCCCAAATTAGGGTTGCACTCTGGCCTAGTACGCCCAGCGTACTAGGTGGTCTCCGCGTCACTTGCACGCTGACGAGTACGCTAAGCGTACACCTAGGTACGCCCCGCGTACTCGTTTTTCACTCTTTTTATAATAAGGACCAAAATAGACAATAGCTCAATAGATCAAGGTTCTCGAAGCATACCTGAACTCGGGATGTTATAATTCTCCCCCACTAGAATCAGACTTCGCCCTCAAAGTCGTGCTCCTCAAATAGCTCCGGATGCTGCTCCCGCATCTCGGACTCCGGTTCCCAAGTCATCTCGGACCCCTTCCGATGTTGCCAGTGAACCTGAACCACGGGCACCTCTTTCTTCCTCAAAACCTTCACCTTTCGATCCATAATCGCGATCGGTTTCTCGATATAATTCAGGCTCGCATCCACCTGAATGTCCTCTAGTGGTACCACTGCCGTCTCATCGGACACACACTTCCTCAACTAGGACACGTGGAAGGTGTTATGGATCTGGCTCAACTCCGCAGGTAGCTCCAAGCGGTATGCTACCTTACCCACTCTAGCGGTTACCCTGAAAGGAATGATGTATCGGGGCCCCAGCTTGGCCCTCTTTCTGAACTGTATTACCCCTTTCCATAGGGATACCCTCAGGAGAACGAAATCTCCAACTTGAAACTCAAGTTCGGATCGTCGCCTGTCGGCATAACTCTTCTGGCGACTCTGAGCCGTCAGTAATCTCTGTCTGACCTGCTGAATCTGCTCATCGTCTTGAGCACTATCTCAGTGTCACCCATCACTAGCTGCCCTACCTTTCCCCAACTGATGGGGGTCCGATACCTCCTCTCATAAAGGAGCTCAAAAGGAGGCTTGTCGATACTGGAATGGTGGCTGTTATTGTAAGAAAACTCAGCTAGGGGTAGGTATGTGTCCCAACTTCCACCGAAGTCCATAAAACATGCTCGAAGCATGTCCTCGAGCGTCAGAATCGTCCGCTCACTCTGTGCGTCTGTCTGTGGGTGGTAGGCTGTGCTAAAATGCAATCGCGTACCGAACTCCTCATGGAACTTCTTCCAGAATCTGGAAGTAAATCGCACATCCCGATCTGACACTATAGATATCGGTACCCCGTGCCGAGCTACCACCTCTTTCACATAAGTCTCTGCTAGCTTCTCTGTAGAAGAGCTCTCACTAATAGCAAGAAAGTGAGCGCTCTTCGTCAACCGGTCCACAATCACCCAAATCGCGTCGACACCCCGCGCGGTCCTCGGCAACTTGGTGATAAAATCCATAGAAATTTGTTCTCACTTCCACCGGGGAACCTCCAGTGGCTGCAACATGCCATGAGGACGCTGGTGTTCGGCCTTAACTCGACGACAGGTCAAGCACCTCTCGACTACCCACGCAACGTCCCTCTTCATACAGGGCCATCGGTAATCTCTCTTCAGCTCCAAATACATCTTAGTGGCCCTGGGATGGATCGAGAATCTCGATCTATGCGCCTCCTCCATCAGTGTACGTCGAGCTCTGCCCGTATAGGGCACCCAAATCCCCCCCTGAAAGGTCATAAGTCCTCGGTTGTCCGTCACAAACTCGGACACCTGCCCAGCTACCCGCTCCTTCTTGCGGTTCTCTAGTCTCACGGCCTCCACCTAGGCCTCTCGAATGATATCTAAGACTGGAGTCATCACTGTCATCCTCATACACACATCTCGGATCGGGGTACTCTCTGCATCAGTACCGCACCCATACCCTTAATAGATGCA